ATTTGCTTATAGAGTTGGTTAGAGATTTTGAGGAGGGTTTGAATAAAGCAAAAGAGTATAGTATATCAAAGATTTGTACAGATTGAATAAGTAAAATAGAAATAAAACCTTTAAGAGTGGAATGGAGAGAATATGGATAGAGTGGAGAAGGCTAAAGAGAAAAAGATGGGTAAGAGAAAATAGTATATTTCAAATAGTTAAGTTTGAATAAAAGAAGATTGAGATTGAATTTGGAACCAGTTTTGTTGATGCAGAAGTTAATAATTTAAATTAATAGATTGTGGCTAAAGCAGATATACCAGTAAGATAGGGAGTCAAAAGGATTACATTTGAAGCATTTAGAGGATAAAAATAGATTAGGAAATGTAGAATAATAGTATAGGTAGGTTGTTGAGCAAAATTTTGATTTTAAAAGATTTAAGATAGTTAAGTATAGAGTTAGTAAAGTTAGATAAGCTTTTTTGATTATTGTTAAAATAAAGCCAAGCAGAGTTCTAATTGATATAGTAAAAAAAGTGTGACTATTCTTAATTCTGATTTTGAGAAAACTACATGGTGATAGTTTTAGCTTTACAAATCTTTTTAATAAAATATCTAGCAGGGCTATTAATAGAACAATTTTTTCATTTGAAAAAAAAATAGAAATTGTGTATATTGAAGATAAGAAGTGATTGTTGGCAAGAAAATCTGCTAGATTGTTGAAAATATTATCAGTATAGGCTAGAACTTTATAAAATATTAAATTAATATTATAAGCTTTGAGTAATTGAAGAAGTATATACCAGATAGACCAGGAGTTGAACTTGAGAGATTTGAAAGAAAAGTGATAATATAGAATAAGTTTGTTGTATTTAGAGATTACAGATTAGGAGTCAGTATAAATATCAACAAAAGAATTGCAAGAAAGGGTTAAAATAGCAGATAGGATAGCAAATAGTTTAGCTTTGTAAGATGAGAGCTAGTTGATAATTTGAGCAGAAAAATTATAGATTACAGTGTTATTATTAATTTGGGCCTAGCCGATGCCTATAGTGCATTGGTTAGAACCAAAGTTTTTAACAGAGCTATTTGTATAAAAGGTAAAGTGTTAATAAGAATTGTTATCTAGAGCAATTTGAGAAAGGTTGTCAGAAGTATTGTTGTTATTAAAGAGTATAAGTATAAGAGAGTCAGAAATATTAATAGCAGATAAAGGATGGATATAAGATGGGTTTTTAATAGAAATAAATAAGATAAAATCAATGTAATTAGTATTAAATTTAAGTTGATTGTTGGATTTTCTTTCTAGAAATTGAGTAGAGAGGATAGAAGACACTTCTAGTGTGCAGTAATTAGCAATATAATTAGAGTTAAGGCTACAACCTAAACAGGATTTGCAAGAAATAAAGAGAAGAGGATAACAAGATAAGTATGAGGTTTCAATATTGTACTGCCAATTATTGATAGAAACTGTACTTGATTGATAAAAAGTTTTGCAAACTTGTCCAATAATAATATCATTATTAGTACAAGTAAGTATCCAGAGTTTGGAGAATTTACTTATAATATTGGTTTGGAAAGCAAATAGATTATGCCTAGTAGGTTGAAGAGAAGATATATTAGTGCAATTAGATGTGTAAAATAAAATAGACTCCTCAAGGTAGAGAAATCAAGCTGGGTTTTTTTCTTTAGAAATATGAAATAATCTGGAAGATAAGTGTGACCAGTCAAGTAAAAATTGATTATTGGCAAAGCATAGTTGTTTAAGAAAGTGAATATTTTTGTAGCAAAGTTGCTATTTAATTGTGTGATATTTAGAATATCTAAAAAGTATATTTTTTAAGAGTGAATTGTCACTAGTAGATGATTGAGGCCAAGAAAGATTAGAGTTAAAAAAAATAGAAATATTTAGAGATTTAAAAAGTTATATGATTTTAAAAGTAGTAGTATGTCTATTAGGGCTATCAATTAAAGGATTGAAATAATAAAAAATATTAGTAGTAATCTATAAGTTGTTTTGAAGTTGTATTCTGATCTGGGTTGTTAAACCAAGAGTAGAAGAGTTGTTAATATAGTTAAAGAAATTGTTAATATGGTGTTGAAGTTGTATATTCTATAGGCTATAAATATTATAAAGATTATAATTAAGTATGATGCTATTAGAAGTAGACTAAGAAAGATGAGATTTTTTTTTTTTTTTAACTCTTTGATAGTCTCATCGCTACCTTTATTAAAAGATAATTATTATATATGCAAAACATATTTAATATATCTAAACTAAAATAATTAGGTGCAGCATCATCTATTTGCTTCTCGAGTATCTAGATGTAATTTGTCGCACTGTGCTATGAATAAAACAGATGATGTTGTTAGCCCTGCTCAAGAACCAAAACTTGATTTTTTTTTCTACCTAGATCTTGGTAGAAAGGCTCGGTGAGCCTGTTTCTCTATTTAATAAAACTAAAAAAAACAAAAAAGAAAATAAAACAATATTGCAAGAAGGGAAGATAAGGGAATAATTAAAAGAAAAGAAGACTATAAAGGGAAAAAATGAAACCTAAACGTAAAACTCTAATATAACTATATAAAAAAAAATTGAAAAAAAAACAAGAAAAGCTCTTAGACTGGGCTAAACAACATAATAAAAGAAAATAAAAGAAAGTGCATTATTGTAACCTGTACAAGGCTTAAAAAATTATATAACAAATACAACATCTGTATATCTCAACTATAAAACTTTGCTTTAATGTATTGGTTTCTTTCTAACTTATATGACCAATCTGAATATGTTTTTAACCAAGGACTAGTTAATTGCCTTGTTATGTGGAGTAGCGATGTGTTTATTTCCAAACAAAACATGTAGTTGCAATTTACCAGGTTAACCAAATTTGGAAGGAGTAAACAATGCTAATCTTTTGACAGGGATAAGCTGTTTTGTCTACTTTTTTTGAAAATTTTGTTGCAAGCACAAGTGGGTGATAGTAAAGAGTATAGACCTTGTACTTTTCTTAAAAAAGAGTATATATTTCTTCAAAAATAGTAAGACAAGTAGATCTGAGTACACTGCTGATATTCTTTTTGATAAGTGATAAACTCTGAACTTGTTAGCAAGTAGCATATAAGAACTACTTCTAAATAACAAGTACTGTCACCATGATGAGTGATAAGCTTTAAGCCTATTAGCAGATAGCATATGAGAACTATCTCTAAAAAATAGGTGCCAGTTTATGGTTCTTGTTAGTCTTATAACCTTCTTCTCTAACATAATTCTACAGTTTTTGTCAAAATTTTTTGTTGTGAAAAGTTGGTCTGAGGGATCATCAGGAAGAGTTTATATATTAAATAAAGATGAAATTTGTGTTTAGCAATAGTTAGGTATTTGCCAAGAATTTTGTTACAAATAGAAAGAGAGATAATGGTATTCTGAATTTGATATTCAATAGTAAGAATAATAATGTTATTAATAATAGTGATATTTTTAATATTAGCAATGTTGGCTAACTATATTGCTTTATTTTGAATAAGCTTGATTTGTTGAATATATTTGTTGTTAAGAGTAAACTAGCAACCAAAAAACTTGAAAAGTTGGTGAATTGAGATAGATACAAGATTGAAGAAATTGAGGCAGAAGGTTGTTTGGAAATAAAAATAGATTTAGAAGAATTAATTTAAATATTAGCCATGTTATAGAAGAAGGTTGCTTTGTTGATAATTTTGTTAAGTTTATTTTTGGATTAAATAATCAAATAGTGTCATCTATATAAGCTAGCACAGATATAGAAGTATGTAAATAGTTAGTGGAGGGGTGAGTAAGGCAAGGTTGCTATGTTGTAGAAAGAGTGTAATCAAAAAAGTGTATAGAAATATAAGTAATAAAAGAATTATAATAGATTTTCCAAAAGAGAGGAGTAATAGTTTTACCTTGATCAATACCATATTTTTAGCTGAATAAAAGTTTGTAAAACCAAGGTTGGTAATAATTCAATTAGTGTAATTAAAAAGAAGGTTTAAAAGTATATTGATAAGCTACTAGGGTATTTGAAGTCTAATAAAGGATTTTTAGAAAAGTTCAAAGTTGATAGAGTTATATACTTTACTTATATCTTGTAAAAGAATCTAGAGTTGGCTTGATTGATAGTTGGTATCTTTAATTATATTGTTAAGGATATATATGAGAATAGAGGTGGCATTGCCAGGAAGAGCAATATAGTTAAATAGAAATAAGATACTGTGTTGATATAAAATACTATTAAGCTGATTGATAAGAAGTTTGGTGTAGAGTTTTTGAATATGTTTGACTAAACTAATAGGTCTTGTATTGGATAAATTACTATCAAAGATAGGTTTTTTGGCAATAAAAAAAATATATCCTTCTTTTCATTACTTAGATATAGATTAGAATATAAGATAGTAGTTAAATAAAAAGCAAAGAAAGATCTGGTATATTTGATCATTTCATAGCTGATACCAGAAGGACTATATGCTTTATTATTAGAAAGTTGGCTAATAGTAAAAATAATTTCTTTTTAGGTATATGTCACGGAGTTTTCCAACACTCCGTGAACTACTAGACTTTTACTATCGGTCTTTAACTCGCTTGGCTATAATATACGATGACTGGTGTATCAAACCAGATACTACCACCAATATGTATTCACAGAGATAACAACAGTTTATTCACTAAGAATAATTCAAAGAACTCAAAGTTCAATCTCTCTCTCTCTCCTTTAGGATCGATACTTTATTTATTTGTTACTAATACACATTTGCGTCACTGATTATTACTAATCGCTATTGATTACTACATTGTTCATGCATCATTATTTAGACTTTTAATTAAATCGTCATCCCGATCGCTGACATTCAATCAACACTGATCACTAGTCACATGGGTGTTGCGAAGCACCGTGAGATGAGCTAGAACCCCAGTAACTTCATTTCCGAAGTTACAACAACTCATATCCATCCCACCAAGTTTCCTCACTTCAAAACGACTACCAAATACTGCACTAACTATTCCATCATTCCCAATCACATGGTCTAAATATAGTTGTTTGAAAAATCCCTTCTTTCTAACATTTTCAAATACTATCGGGCTACGATTAAACCTTTGAATTTCGTTTTCACCAACATACAACGTGTCCAGCTTTTTTGGATCATTACCACCTTTATCAAAACTTTCATTACTTTCAAATCTCAAGGTATTCATCACCTTAACTTTCGCATTGTCGATTCGCAATGCACTTTCAACTAAACTCGCATACACATTATTCACGACTTTTCTACTTGTTTTCACCCTTTGGCAGCTTACACTATTTAACCTTACAAAATTATTCACATTACGTTTAGCCTTTAACATGCTATTCAATGTTCGTATGGTGCTTGGGTGACTCATAGATGCTCCTCCTAATCCAATGCATCGTTTATTCTTATCATCACACTTGTCATCACGTGTTTCATTACCACAACTCATTTTCCTAAGGCTTTGACATTGAACAAATGCCTTTTGTTCATTTTTTTCATTTTCGATTTTACTTTCGTTGTAATCTTTTCCAGATTCATTCATTCTGCCATCTGCAGCTTCACCCCCATTATAATCAAACTCAGCCTCATTATCCTCCAATACGTTTACTACACACCTTACATTCGCAACATTATTGTCTTTTCCATCACTACATTTCTCTTTCTCTTCGCCAGCACCATCATTCTCCGTCAATTTACCTTTAATACACCTAACATCTACAAATTCATTTTCTTTTCGATCATCATTCTTCATTATACTACCTTTATTCATATATTCATCTATGCTTTCTTCAGAGCTCACGAATGTTGCTTTCTCTAAGCCATATCGGATCATACAGTGCCATTTTCCATTCTTTCATTCGAAACTACACCTTGTTTTCATGACCCACAGCATTTCAAGAATGACATCACAACAAAATCCACACTTCACATAGAACTTTTGAACCACTTTAACACCGTCAATATCAACTTCAACACCAGGAACACATTCAATGATCTCATAATCACTTGTACTACCAATAGTTGATATATTGTTCAAACATCTCCAGATAAGCCCTTTCTTTTCCACATAATCTATGTTTATTAGGTTTACACCTAAAATGGTTCTAATCGATGCTTTCACTGATTGTC